GGGGGGGTTATGGGCTGGGGGGGGTTAATGGGGGCGACAGGAGGGGGGCAAAGGCGACGGGGCGGGGGCCACCCCGCGACGTCATTCGGGGTCGGTCGCGGGGAGAGACGAGAAAACGGCCAGAAAAGGAGGAAAACCGGGGGGAAAAAAGAGACACCCACCCCCCGGGCGGGTGAGAGGGGTGACACTGTCCCCCGGGGAGGGGGGACCGCCCCCCAAAATCCGGTGGGGGCTTTGTGTTCCGAGAGAGAGGAATTCCCTCCGCGCAGGGACGGCACCGCCCGAGGGGCTGAGGGGCGGCGCGGGGGGACCCCCGGCGTGTCCCCAAAACCGGGGGGGGGGACCCGCGGCGAGGACCACACCCCGCTCCTCGCCGGGTCCCGAGCCGGGGGTGTGAGGGGGTGGTGGGGGGGTCATGTCCCCCCCGAATTGGGCTTGAGGATGCTCCTGAGGGCGCTGCCGAGGCTGCCCTTGCTGGGGGAGCGGGCGGGGGGCGGGGGGGCGGCGGCGGCCTCGGCCTTCCCCTCCCCCCGCAGCTCCATCTCGATGGTCATGATGACTTTGGGGGGGGGTCTCCGGGGGTCCCCGGCGCCCGCCCCGGGGGGACCCTCGGTGCCCTTCTCCAACCGCTATTTCTTATCCTTGCGGGAGTCTCCCGGCGCGCCCTTGGATTTCTTGGCGCCGCGGCCGTGGTCCAGCATGGCATAGAGCACGGGGGCCTGCGGGGACACGGGGGGGGCTTCACCTCCCACCCCAAAGGGAGCAGGGGGTCCCCCCCGGCCGCCCCCCGACCCCTGGGCGCTCACCTGGCGGCTGCGCTTGGAGCCGTCCTTGGCCGAGCGCTGCAGCTTCCCCTTTTCCATGGCGCTGGAATTTGGGGGGGAAGGGGGAAAAAAAGGGGGGAAAGAGCGGTTCAAGGGGTGTGTGGCGGGTTTGCCCCCGAGTTTTGGGGGGTGCGGGGGGTCGGGGCTCACCTCAGGCGCCGCTGCAGGACCGCCTGGCGCCGCAGCCAGCAGAAGCGGATGGCATAGCCCAGGGCCACCAGCACGGCCACCAGGAGCAGCCCCCCGCCGATCACCGAGCCCAGCACGACGCCGTAGCGGGTGGGCACTGCGGGGACAGGGGCACCGTGTCACCCCCGGCAGCGGGGAGGGGAGAGTGGCACCGTGTCACCCCCGGCAGCGGGCAGGGGACACTGGCACCGTGTCACCCCCAACAGTGGGTGGGCATTGCGGGGACAGTGGCACCGTGTCACCCTCTAGCAGAGGGTGG